ACATATATATACACACACATATATATACACACACATATATATACACACACATATATATACACACACATATATATACACACACATATATATACACACACATATATATACACACACATATATATACACACACATATATATACACACACATATATATACACACACATATATATACACACACATATATATACACACACATATATATACACACACATATATATACACACACATATATATACACACACATATATATACACACACATATATATACACACACATATATATACACACACATATATATACACACACATATATATACACACACATATATATACACACACATATATATACACACACATATATATACACACACATATATATACACACACATATATATACACACACATATATATACACACACATATATATACACACACATATATATACACACACATATATATACACACACATATATATACACACACATATATATACACACACATATATATACACACACATATATATACACACACATATATATACACACACATATATATACACACACATATATATACACACACATATATATACACACACATATATATACACACACATATATATACACACACATATATATACACACACATATATATACACACACATATATATACACACACATATATATACACACACATATATATACACACACATATATATACACACACATATATATACACACACATATATATACACACACATATATATACACACACATATATATACACACACATATATATACACACACATATATATACACACACATATATATACACACACATATATATACACACACATATATATACACACACATATATATACACACACATATATATACACACACATATATATACACACACATATATATACACACACATATATATACACACACATATATATACACACACATATATATACACACACATATATATACACACACATATATATACACACACATATATATACACACACATATATATACACACACATATATATACACACACATATATATACACACACATATATATACACACACATATATATACACACACATATATATACACACACATATATATACACACACATATATATACACACACATATATATACACACACATATATATACACACACATATATATACACACACATATATATACACACACATATATATACACACACATATATATACACACACATATATATACACACACATATATATACACACACATATATATACACACACATATATATACACACACATATATATACACACACATATATATACACACACATATATATACACACACATATATATACACACACATATATATACACACACATATATATACACACACATATATATACACACACATATATATACACACACATATATATACACACACATATATATACACACACATATATATACACACACATATATATACACACACATATATATACACACACATATATATACACACACATATATATACACACACATATATATACACACACATATATATACACACACATATATATACACACACATATATATACACACACATATATATACACACACATATATATACACACACATATATATACACACACATATATATACACACACATATATATACACACACATATATATACACACACATATATATACACACACATATATATACACACACATATATATACACACACATATATATACACACACATATATATACACACACATATATATACACACACATATATATACACACACATATATATACACACACATATATATACACACACATATATATACACACACATATATATACACACACATATATATACACACACATATATATACACACACATATATATACACACACATATATATACACACACATATATATACACACACATATATATACACACACATATATATACACACACATATATATACACACACATATATATACACACACATATATATACACACACATATATATACACACACATATATATACACACACATATATATACACACACATATATATACACACACATATATATACACACACATATATATACACACACATATATATACACACACATATATATACACACACATATATATACACACACATATATATACACACACATATATATACACACACATATATATACACACACATATATATACACACACATATATATACACACACATATATATACACACACATATATATACACACACATATATATACACACACATATATATACACACACATATATATACACACACATATATATACACACACATATATATACACACACATATATATACACACACATATATATACACACACATATATATACACACACATATATATACACACACATATATATACACACACATATATATACACACACATATATATACACACACAT